AGCTGTTTCTGTGAAATAAATCAGACTTGGTCTCCACTCAGGCTTGAGTGTTCTTTCCTTTCTTAATCCTCAGTCCCCAACTGAGGCATGTTCGTGTTGTGAGGGCTGTGCCGCCACATGCAGCAATCCTTCTGCCTCAGCTTCCCAAGTGCTGGGATTACAGGCAGGCACTACCATGATTGGCTGTCCAAGGTGATGCAACATCATGCACTCAAAAGGACCCTGCACAAGGCATGGGCCACCACAAACACTTGTGTTTCTCCCCCATTTTCCTCCATTCCCATTCCAGGGCTCAATTCTGTAAATGAGGAATCACCCACACCATCTGTTTCACTTTTTTTTTTTTTTTTTTTGATACTGAGGATTGAACTCAGTTCCTTGTGCTTGTGAGGCAGGTGCCGGAACCACTGAGCTAAATCCCCGGCCCACTCAGTTTCATTTTGTGACCTGCCTCCAAAATTGGAGGCAAATCAGCAGAATGGTATTTCAGATATACAGAAAAAGATGACAAAATTTGAGTAAAGAAGGGAAAGATGAATAAGGTGAGTGGCACCTTTTATTCCTGGCTGTGCCAGGCATATTTTCAGAATAAGGACTGGTTGTCAATACAAACTCAACATATTTAAAACCAAGGGCTGGGATTTAGCTCAGTGGTTCTAGCGCCTGCCTTGCAAGTGCAAGGTCCTGAGTTCCACCCCTGGTACAAAACCAAACCAAATTCCTCTTGCTGGATCATGGACACTGTATTCTATCTTCTGGTTTTCTTTCTACCTCCCTAGGAACTCACTCCTCCCTTTGCACAGCTGGCTACATCCACAGTGACCTTAGCCTGTATCCATATTCTGAGAAGTCCTCATTCTATTCTATTACACCACTGAATTCCAACTCATTAGATCCAGTTGCTTGATCAACTTTTCCACTTGAATTCTAAAAAAACAAAAACCCTCAAAATGAACATGTATAGAACGTAACTCTCGATTCCCATTTCCCTACCTCAAACCTACTTTTCCCCCAGTTTTTGTCATCACGCTAAATGACAAGTCCATTCTCTTCAGAGTTTTTTTTTTAAAAACACCTCCCCTCGTCGGGTGTGGTGGTGCGTGCCTGTAATCCCAGCACTCGGGAGGCTGAGGCAGGAGGAGGATTACTGAGTTGGAGACCAGCCTGGACTACATAGTGAGTTCCAGGTCAGTCTCAACTACATAGTGAGACCCTGTCTCAAAAAAACCAAACCAGAACAAAACAAAAACCCTTCCCTCTGGCATAATTGTGTGTATGTTCTGTTTTTGTTTCTTTTTTGTTTGGCATAATTGTTAACTCATTTTCTCACATTCCAAATCCTACAGAAAAAAAACCCTGTCAAACTCCACCTTCAAAATATACCGAGAAGCTGGGGGTAGTTGTGCATGCCTATAATCCTAGTACTTGGGAGGCTGAAGCAGGAGAATCACTGCCAGTTTGAGGCCATCCTGGGCTACATAGTGAGTTCAAGGTCAACTGCATAATGAAACCCTTCATGAAAAAACAAAAATAAATACATAACAAAAAGAAAAACCCTGGGAATTCAATCACATTTCACCACTTTCATGGCTATTATCCTAGTCCATCTCATCAGTGTCTCTTGCCTGGATTATTGCTTATAGCTGTGGCCAATGTTCTTTTCTAAAATCCTACCTTTAACCCCTATGCCTCCCTACCCCTACCTCTAGGTTCACTGTAGAACTTCTTGATATATCATCCACAAGGGTTATTTTAAAATCTAACTCATATAACTCTCTTCTGCTCAAAACTCTCCAATGATTTTACAATGGTCAAAACTCTCCAAAGTTCTACAAGTCTCTACATAATATACTCATTTTATTTTATTTTTCTCCTGGATGAGCACATTCTCACCTTAAAATATGCCCTGTACTATTTCCTCTGCCTAAATGAGCTAAATATCTGCTCTAAATATTGACATCTCTGAAAAGCCATCCCAGACTAATCTATTGAAGATAGCATAATTCTCATTTCCTTTTCTCTGATTTACTATTTTAGTTATTTACTTATTCATTTTTGGTTTTTTGAAACAGGGTCTTGCTAAGCAGTCCAGGCTGACCTCAAACACATGGCAGTCCTCCTGCCTCTCCCTCATGAATGCTGGGATTACAGATGTGCACCACCGTGCCTGACTTCTGTTGTTTTAATAGAATTTATCATCCCCTAAGATCTTATGTCTATTGATGTTTTCTTTATTGCCTCTCCTTTTAAAAGAGTAAAAGCTAGGTGAAAGCTGTATGATGTTTACTGCTACAATCCCAGTACAGTACCTGGTATAAAGCATTCAATAAAAAAGCTCCTGAATGATCCCCTCAGTCTTTGACTCTGTTGCGATTGTCTTCATCACACTACTCTTCCAAATTTCAAAGCCTAATATTTAGCCTGAAACAGTGTCCAGGAGCATTCTCCACTGGTTCTTCCTTCTTTACAGATCTCTTCTGTCATCTGTTCCACTTCTTATCTAAGACTTACCTTTTGTAGTTCACACATTCATAATCTTATTTCAAACATAAATCTTCTTACCACATGCTCTTCCCCTTACGCTCTATTTTGTGTCCCAGTGCCAGATCATACTTACTGCTTCATATTCTTTACATTATGGGGTTAATAAAGTTCCCTAACACTAAAGGAGACAAAGTGTGGAGCTTCTCCTCTACAGAAGAAAACCTAAGAAGAAAACCACAGGTTGACACTGAAAGTCCTGGATACTTTATTCTTCTATTCTCAACTTCCCAACCTGAGATTTCTGATTCCAAGAATTCTACTTGGATCCTCCACTCTGCTACTGCTTCCTGACTCCATTCCTCTGAGAGAGTGACTTTCATTTATCTTTTTATCTTCTAAAGGACAGTCAGCAGTGGATACATATGCAAAATGGTATGTCTTAATTATTTTGTCGTCTAGCACAGTCACCATCTCCCCACTCACTGGATGTCACTGGATGCTGTTCATACACCCAGGGCCACAGTTCCCTTGGTAACATGCTCAGAAACTGCTCCAGTACTAGCAGCTCCAAGAACTGCACCTTGCAGTGGGTCTTGGCTGCAAATATAAGGGCAGTTTAGAGAGACATAAAAAACCCAGGGCAGAGGACTAAAATGGTGGCAGAGCAGTGAACGACAGTAACCCTGCTGCTCCAGAACTAAGTGCCTACAGTCTGGAAAACAACAGCTGGCAGAGGAACTGAAGTGAGTAGAGGGCTCACAGGAACCATGCAAGGGAACTCAGAGAGGAGAAGGAAATAGGATTAAGTGCTACAAAAGAAATAGTTCCCTGCCATGGACTGGAAACTGCACGGTGCTTGACTGGCAGGCAAAGAAAATAACTTTTCTGCTCAAAGAGAAAGGAGACCTGGACTGAGAGAATCCTATAAGTTGGAGGCAGCACTGAGAACAGGAATATCATGTATCCCGAGTGATTCTCCCAGAGTCAAAGTTGGTGAGTGAGGAGGAGCAGTGTCCAGCACAGAGTCACACAGAGCAGAAGCGGGTGGGTCATCATTTTATTTAGAAAAGGCCTCAGACTTCAGCAGCAGAAGAGTCCCATAGTCTTTTCAGGCCAAATTCCCACAGTGGAAGGAGGGAAGGGCTGTTCAGTCATGGTGGACCACTGGCAGTTGGACAGTAGGTTGGGGAAACTGCTGAGAGCTAGGGGCTGCTCCAGCAGTGGTCAAAAGCCAGTCTTAGCCCTAGCTACAAAGAACTGGAAGCTCATGGCAGTGACTTGCCCTCACTGCTGGTACACCTCTAACCCATTGTTCCGAGCACAGCTTACCCTTGGGCTCCCAGCGCAAACAAAGACACCTTGCCTAGAATTCTGCTCCTTAACAAGAACTTGACCAACAGTCTGTGTCTCCTGCCAGCTTGAACTCCACTCCCTAACCTCCTGCTGACTTGAACTGAGCATCTACATTGAGGTGCTGAAATTTGCTTTTCTTTCTTGCCCTCACTCCCTCCCTTTCCTTCATGTTCTTTGACTGTATTCTCCCCTTTTTTTTTTATCCTTATCATACTTTTTGAACTTTGAGAGACTTCCAGGAAGATTGTGGAGATGTGAGCAATAGAGAAAGAGCTTCTATGAGATTTGGTGTCCATACACTGGAATACAGCAGCTTGAGGAAGAAGGAGGAGGAGGAGGAAGGAAGTGGGTCTCTGGGACCCAGGAACGATCTGTGGCAAGAATTGAAATCTACAGGGAGAGTGAAGAGAGACTTTAACAAAGAGGAGGGAGGCACCAAACAGTGCTCTCTCCCACAGCCCAGACTCTGTGAGGGAACAGTGGCCAAAACTGCAGACACATAGTGACTACTAAGGACCCGAGAGGCCTCCACAGAGAAATGCACCAGTGCTATGGAGCAGTGGATGAACTGGACTTCAGTGGCTGGTAAATTATCGGGATTCAGATCTCACCCAAGAGAGGGTGACTGGCTGGAAGCCATCTTGGAAAGGGGCCAACTGAGCTTGGAACTCAGAATAGTTGCAGGCAGGTTCCACTTAGTGACTTCTGGTAGCTCAATGTAGGTGCTGAGTTCAAGTCAGCAGGAGGTCAGGGAGTGGAGTTCAAGCTGGCAGGAGACACCCAGAATGTTGTAGGTGCAAGGAATCTGGTTCCAGCCACACAGCTGGAAACCAGCCTGAACTTCAAAGGAACTAAAGGGGCAGGCTGGTTGGGATTATCCACCACCCCACCATGAAGCTGCAGCTAGTTTTCTGGGATTAATTAATTTGGCTCTGGACTCTGCCCACATTGACTAACAATGCCAGCAGAGATACACGTTGATTTGGACATTTGGGTTTTTAAAAAATCTTTCATTTATTTTCCTTTTTCCTTCTTTTTTTCCCTTTCAGTTCTTGTTTAGTTTAGTTTTTTTCTTGACTGAACACAATTTCTAGTTTTTTGTTGTTGTTCTGTTCTATTCTTGTTTTTCTTTTTCCTTTTCTTTTTCCCATCTTCTTCACCAGTTTCCTTAAGTTGTTCTCCAGCCTTGCTTCTGACCTGTTTCTCTTCATCTGTTTCTGTTTTCTTACCCCTTAAGCACTTTTAAGTCTTCTCCCCTAAGGGTAAAAAAACATATTAAGGGCTAAAATCTTTCATTTTCTAGGCTGTATTTGATGCTATTGTTATTGTTGATTGTACTATGTCAGGGTGACATAACTGCTAATCAGTTGTTCTTCCTGGTATACCAAGACTGAGATTGCCTAAGGGTAAAAAAAACAAAACAAAGCAAAAACAACCAGTGCCAAAGAACTGGCAGCTGGGCCAAATAGGTGGAAACTTCTCATCCCCAATACAGTGAAGATGCAGGATCCTGCAACAGACTTAAAATCCAAAAGCTAGTTACACCTGGAAGACACTTCTGAGAAGCAGTCATTTCCTAAGGGTTCTGAATACTGGCAATAATGATACTCACCATAAGCAATGCACAAGTATCAATTCAGGAATCAAAAAGCAGAAATCATTAAAGCAGAAAAAAATTTCCTAGATAACTACAGAGATAGTGACCAGAATGAAAGATACAGATAAAAAAAAAAAAAAAAAAAAAAAAAAAAAAAAAGAGCCCAGGAACATAATGGAAGCCATGAACTCCCAGCACAGGAAAGAAATGGAATCTATGAAACAGATTCAAACAGATATCTAGGAGATTAAACACTCCACTGAGGGCCATGGGTTTAGCTCAGTGGCTCCATGCCTGCTTCACAAGTGCAAGGTCCTGAGTTCAATCCCTGGTACAAACAAACAAGAAAACAACCCAGAGGCTGGACCATGGTGGCGCATGCCTGTAATCCCAGCACTCGGGAGGCTGAGGCAGGAATATTACTGTGAGTTCAAGACTAGCCTGGGCTACACAGTGAGTTCCAGGTCAGTCTCACTACATAGTGAGACCCTGTCCCAAAAAAACCAAACCAAAACAAACCAAACCAAAACAAAACAAAAAAAACCAGAAAACCCCCCAAAGCCAAAAACCTCCATTGAAAGTATATACAGCAGAATGAATCAATCCAAGAACAGAATACCATATATAGGAGACAGGATTACAGGTGGCAATCAGGAACAGGAGATTTCTTAAAAATAGCAAAGGACTATGAGAAATCAATGCAGGAGCTAGTAAATGATGCAAAGAAGAATAACATATGATTGATCTGAGTCAATCGAAAAGCAGGACATAGTGCAAATGACATTAAAAAAAACTGTTCTCAGTAGTAACAGCAGAAAACTTCCCAAACAGGGAAAAAGAATGTGATATGCAGATAAGTGAGGAGTACAGGACTCCAATTAGCCATGATTAAAAAAAAAATCTTCCCCAAGGCATATAATAGTCAAGATTCCAGAAATTCAACACAAGGACAGAGTATTAAAAGCCATTAGAGAAAACAAACAAATCATCTATAAAGGAAAGCCTATCAGATTCACAGCAGACTTCTTAAGATAAGCTCTCAAGTCAAGGAGAACCTGGAGTAAAATACTTCAAAAGCCCTAAAGGAAAACAACCTCCAGCCCAGACTGATGTATCCTGCAAAACTATCCTTCAAATTTGATAGAAAAATAAGATACTTCCATGACAAAGAGCATCTGAAGAAACTAATGACCACTAAACTGGCACTCCATGGTGTTCTGAAGTATATTCTAGAAAGAGACAAGACGGATTACAACTCCATGAAACCCAACAGGATGAATCTACCAGGTAAGGCAAGAAATTAAATAGAAAAAAAAAAAAAGAAGGAAGCGCACAGGAGGAAAATAACATGACAGAGATAACACAATACATATCAGTTGTAACCATCAATGTTAGCGGTCTCAATTTACCAATCAAAAGAAAGAGACTGGCAGAATGGATCAAGAAGCAAGATCCAAGAATATGCTGCATACAAGAAACACATCTAATTGAAAAATTCACATACTGAAAGTAAAGCGATGGAAAACAATATTTCATGTGACAAGAAACCAGAAAAAAGCAGGAGTAGCTATTCTATTTTCAGACAAAGGGGATTTCAAGCCAAGACTGATCAAGAAAGACAAAGAAGTTCATTATATCCTGAAAAAGGGAACAATCCAAGAAGAAGAGATAACAATTCTAAATATATATGCACCAAATAGCACATCCAATTATACAAAACAAATATTAATGGACATGAAGAATCATATAAGCAGTAATATAGTTATAATTGGGGACTCCATATCCCACTGTCACAAAAAGACAAATCAGCTAGACAAAAAAATCAACAAATATTAGAATTGAACCAAACTCTTGAACAGATGGACTTAATAGATACCTACAAAGTTTTTCACTCCACAACACAAGAATACACGTTCTTCTCAACTGCACATAGGACTTTCTCCAAAATAGACCATGTACCACCTCATAGAACATGCTTAAGTAAATGCAAAAGAATTGAAATAATCCCTTGCATATTATCAGACCAAAGTGCAATGAAATTGGAAATCAACTGCAAAAGAAACCACAAGAACTTCATAAACACATAGAAATTAAGTAACATCCTCCTGAACAACCAATGGGTCACAGATGAAATTAAAGAAAAAAATGAGACAATTTCTAAAATTAAACAATAATGACAATACAACATACCAGAACTTATGGGACACAATTAAAGCAGTATATGAGGGAAATTTATAGTGGTGAATTCCCCTATCAGGAAACAGAGCAGGCAAAAATAACCTAATATTGAACCTCAAGCTTCTAGAAAAAGAAGAGCAAGTCAAGCCCCAAGTTTATATGAGGGAGGAAATTATAAAAGTTGAGTAGAAATTAATGCAGTGGAGACTAAAAGAACAATAGAAAGAATCAATGAATTGAAGAGTTAGCTTGTTAAAAGATGAAATACAATTGACTAACCCCTTAGCCAACCTTATCAAAAGAAAAAGACTCAAATCCCGACAATTAGGAATGAAAGCATGAAATCACACCAGATCCTGCAGAGATCCAGAAGATTATCAATATTAATTTGAGAACCTATATTCTAATAAAATGGAAAATACAGAAGAAATGTACAGATTCCTAGATACATATGACTTACTGTTGTAGTCAGCAGGATTGGGCAAGGGAATACATTAAATAAAGGACATATAACTTATAAGGTTATTTTATGATAATTATCTAAAGAGTCAAATATAAAGGAGTACAAGAGATTAACTGCACACTACAAGCCCAAAATATTCAACTCAGGGCCTAGATCCCATCAATTTCCCACACAAGTCCAGCTAATGGCTTAAACTCCAAGGCAATATCCTTCTTAGAGTTCAGCCAGTGGCCTAGAGCCCATTGAAATGTCTCAGGTTTGTCCATGGAAGCTGGAAAGTCCAAAGGCCAGTGGCAGAAGCCAGAAAATCTATGGTGGTGAGATAAAGGATTTGTGCCACCAAGCTGAGGGATTCACATTGAAGCCAGGAAGTGATGCTCACAGTAAAGATCAGAGCTCCCCCGATGAAAGCAGCAGCTATTCCTAGTGATAGCAAGGTCACAAGGTCTGCCTCTAACAAGAACAGCCTAGTTCTCATCAGGAAAACCATCCACAGCAAGTTTCTCCTAGAAAATCAATAGGCCAAGATCTTCCCCTCCAATTTTCTTTTTATGGCTATTGGTAACAATCTTCAGGTGAATCCTCCATGCCCAGACCACACTGATTCAGTTCAGTTGGGTGTTACAAGCTGACCATTAGTCAATCCACTACAATTACCTAAACTGAATCAAGAAGATATACAAATTCTAAATAAACCAATATCAGCCAATGAAATTGAAGATGTAATTAAAAGCCTTACAGGGCCGGGGATTTAGCTCAGTGTTTGGTGGCCTGCCTTGCAAGCGCAAGGACCAGAGTTCAATCCCAGGTACCAAAAACAAACAAACAAACAAACAAACAAAAACCTGCCAACAATAACAACAACAAAGCCCTGGCCCTGATGGATTCACTGCTGAATTCTACAAGAAATTTAGAGAAGACCTAATGCCACTACTCCTCAAACTCTTCAATGAAATCGAAAGGGAAGCAATACTCCCAAATTCATTCCTGGAAACAAGCATTACCCTGCTTGAAGTATCCAACAAAAATGAAGAATTACAGGTCAATCTTCTTTTTTTCCTTCTTTTTTTTTTTTTTTTTTTTTTTTTTTTTTTTTTTTTTTTTTTTTGGTACCAGGGATCAAACAGGCCAATCTCAATGAACATAGATGCAAAAATCCTCAATAAGTTACTATCAAACGGAATGTAGCAAATCATCAAGATGGTTATACATCATGACCAAGTTGTATTCATCCCAGGGATGCAGGGATGGTTCAACATATGCAAATCAATAAATGTATACACTATATTAACAGAGCCAAGTACAAAATCTGTATGATCCGCTCAATAGATGCAGAAGAAGCATTTGACAAGTCCAACACACATTCATGTAAAAACCCTACATAAAATCGATATACATGGTCTTATTCTCAATCTGATAAAAGCCATCTATAACAAACCAACAGCCAATATCATATTAAATGGACAAAAACTGAAAGCTTTCACTCTAAAATCGGGAACAAGACAAGGATGTTCACTGTCACCACTGTTGTTCAATATAGTTCCAGAGCAATTAGACAAAAGAAAGAAATAAAAGGAAAAAGGATAGGAAAGGAAGAAGTTAAATTATCATCACTTGTAGATGACATGAAACGCTATGTAAAAGACCTCCAAAAACAACACCAAAAGACTTTTAGATTTGAAAACCAAATTCAGTGGCATAGCTGGATACAAAATCAACACTCTAAAGTTAATAGCCTTCCTGTACACAAGTAACAGACTCACAGAGAAATCAGAGAAACAATCCCTTTCAAAATAGTATCCAAAAAAAAAAAGAAAAAGAAAAATGAAATACCTAGGAATCAATCTAACGAAGGAAGTAAAAGACCTCTGCATTGAAAACTACAGTGCCCTGAAAAAGGAAATTGAACAGGATATCAGAAAGTGGAAAGATATCCCTTGTTCTTGACAGGAAGAGCCAATATAGTGAAAATGGCCATAGTTCCAAAATTGCTATATTCAGTGCAATCCCAATCAAAA